ATTAGAAGCTCTGTTTCCTAGGTCCTCTAACCACTCCTTTGTCTAATGGAGCAAAGACTCCACTGACTTCTCTGCTGTCTAAAATTTTGTGATAATGTGCCTCCACATGCCACATAGTCAGTGCACTGGGTATTGAGTGGACTCCAAGTGGAAGCAGTTCCTTTGTGAGAAAAATCTTTTTTATCTCTTTGATTTTTCCCCTGTGTTTTATCATGTTCTTCTTTTGGAAACTCACAGATCATTTTGGCTCTCTAATTCTCATATTTTGATCTCTTCTCCCCCCTTTTGTACTGTATTCTGAGAACTAGATGTAAATGTATCCTCTACTGAATTTAAATAAAGCAAAACAAACAAACAAATAAACAAACAAATCCTTCTTCTCTTGTAATTTGAAATTTGCAGAACAAGTTCTTGTTTTTAGAATGATCATTTTTGTATCGAGGATCAACATTTATTTCATGGAACTAGTACATCTATGTGTCTCGCTAAGAACTTTGATCTCCAAGTTATTCATGTCTAATTTCTGTTTCTTCAAGTTCCTTGTTTCTGTGTTTATCTCTTTTGCTAAAGGCTTTTGTCCAATGCATCACTATTCTTAATAATTTACTTGTATTTCAAAGAGAAAAGTGTGTGTGTGTGTGTGTGTGTGTGTGTGTGTGTGTGTTGGGGCAGTGGTTGACTGGTGGGTCTTGCTTAGCCATTTCTTTGGAAGACCCTAAAATTTAGTATCTATATGTCTTTTTTTCCTAAGCCAATCAAATTCCCCTGATGGGAATTTTCCAATTCTTTGTCCTAGGGATACATGTCTACCTACTAGCATTAAAGCTGATAGGCAAGATGACTGTCAAAGGGTGTATTGAATCACCCTAGTCATCAGCTACTCAATAATATTCATCATTATCATTCTCAACATTCATTGAGGAGTTACTTCACCAAACACAAACATGCATGTATAAGTATGTTCTTTACATCATTGTTAAACATGGGAAAAGTTTAAAGCACTCTATATGTCCAAAATGAAACATTAATTATAAAGCCCATGGTATATTGCCACACTAAAATAGTAGGTAGGCATTATAAACAGTCTAACGGCTCTGGTTACTGGAGTTGGATATCTCCCCAAGAGCTATTTGACTTTGGATTTCAACTGAACTGATCTTACTTTTCACCTCCACTCCAACCACACACCAAAGTTGGATTAAAATAGAATAGAGGATGTCCATTGAGAATTGTAATGATGGGGAAGGTAGAAGATCTCTATCTCCACCTCCCTTCTCTTTGCCAAAGGAAGACCTTGATGCCCTAGCAATTGTCTAGGAACTCAGTTGAAGTACCTCTGTTGTAAAAGCATGTCCACTGTGGCCAGTTTCAAACCACCTATGTGACATTTTGCTAATGTATTTTCTGACATGTTCTCAAGTGGTTTCCTTGAGCTGTGGTGAGTTTGCTTCAGTGCACCACTGGAAAAGTGGCCCTAGACTAGGATAGGAGTTATACATGCAGCTCAGCCACCCTGTTGGAGCACTGCAGTGATTCGACACATGCTCAGCAACTAGTTCTGTGCTGCAGAATGGCCATTTACCCTCTGGGGGTGGAGAACTCTAAAAAGGAGTGAACGATGGGATTGTCACTTAAAGCAGAAGCAAATGCTTCTTGAGGTTTTTTTTTAATTTTTTAAAGTTTTATTTACTGTGCATATAGTATTCTGCCTGCCTGCATGCCTACAGGCCAGAAGAGAGCACAGATCTCATTACAGATGGTTGTGAGCCACCATGTGGTTGCTGGGAGTTAAACCTTTAGGAAAGCAGCCAGTGCTCTTAACCAATGAGCCATCTCTCCAGCCTGCTCCTTGAGATTCTTTTTTTTTTTTTTTTTAGTTTTTCGAGACAGGGTTTCAGTGTGGTTTTGGAGCCTGTCCTGGAACTAGCTCTTGTAGACCAGGCTGGCCTCGAACGCACAAGAGATCCGCCTGCCTCTGCCTCCCAAGTGCTGGGATTAAAGGCGTGAGCCACCACCGCCCGGCTTTGCTCCTTGAGATTCTTATCCCTAAAAGATATAGAATCCAGAGTCTTGGTGGAGATAGGGAGCTTTGGTTTTCCACTCCTACCCCATGTAGCATACCAAAAAGGCACCGAGTCTGACACAATGAATCAAGCCATCAGAGTAATACGCAACAGGGAAATACAAGGGGCAGGCCACATTTTGAGGTATTATTCTCCACTGTGTCTCTCTGTAGCCAGCTGTATTGAAAATTTGATAAGAAGTGGAAAGCACCCCACTGGTTTTGCTCTTTTGTCCTTTGATTTCAAGGCCACAATGATAAAGGCCACCAAGTGTGTAATACAAAGAGCACAGAGAGAGTATAAAGAGGACAGTGGTGAATCAAACAGGAAATTAAAGTTGGAAATCAGAGCTAAGCCTGATGAACCAGAACAGGGAGGTTGAGGGAAGGCCCACACCTTTAATTCCAGCTTGTGAGAGACTGAGTTTGGAAAACTGCTGCAAATTTAGGCCAGCTTCTGATTCAACATTAGAGGCTGTGAACCAAAATACATAGCAACAGCAGCTAAAATGGACTTGTTTGAACATCTCGAATAATACAATATTATGGATCGGAGATAGCATCAATGAGCTTGCAGCCATAGGAGAAAGAAACATAACAGGCCTTTTGAACAGATGAAAATGAAAATCATAGTGTATAGTTGTCTTGGAATGACAAGTGTATAGCTATTTAGAAGTTTTCTCACTTAATCCATGGCCATATCACTCTGAACATGCCTGATTCCAAAAAGTAAGCAAGATCAGGCCTGATCAGGACTGAGATGGGAGACTCTTCTTCATTCTGTTTTTTGGAGGTATGAATTTTGGATTAAACAGATTAATATATAAAGGTCCACGTTACTGAAGCAGACAAAGGTGATATAAGGAACATACATGAAGATATAAAGTTTGAAGAAATGAATTTTCTGGTACATGCATAGTTTATGTTAACACAAGGTGTGGAAGCAAGCTAGCTTCAAGAATTCGCAGGGGACCATTCATGAGGAAGCCTTCCTCGAAAGAGAAATGTCAGGGTGGAAAGGAGGCAGCAGCTGTAATGGTTTTACCTCAGGAATACTCTCAGCCTACTTGTACTTTTGAATATGCAGAGAGAACATAGAGAGAAACATAGTACAGAGTCTAAAAGTGGGAAACGGAAAAGGGATTGAAGTAATACAACAAAGGTTCCATGTCTTATTAATCTTCCTGAATACCTAGAAAGCTTGGTCTGAAAAGAGGGACAATTTTTTTCCATGATGTATCCACAAGCCAGAAACAGCTTGGCCTCCTGGAATTCTTAATATAAATTTTGCTTTCTCTCAACACTGCTATACAGGCATTGCTGGAAACAGCTTATTTAGCTTCAGTCACTGAAACCAACGATATTACCTTTGACAATGGATCTAAGTATCGAGGTAAGTTTTCTGTTTTTCTTTGAGGTCACAGCTGTTTTTATTTGCTTAAAGTGTGACTGGGAAATACTCTTTCCTCAGACCCTGCCAAGTGAAGCATGATACAGCAATGTACATTTAAAAACAGTTTTATGAAAACCATTTACTAGGTAACTCAATTACAACACTGTTATTGATCATAAACATAGTGAACTGTACTGAAGGGGAAAAGCAGACACCCTCACATGTGTGCTCTCTGCCTGTTAGAGAGGTCCAGAGAGAATAATTGGGAGAGCAACAATCATAGTCGTCTTAAGACCCTAAGAGCTCTGCAAGTGTGGCTTCCATGTCCTGCACACTGTTGGTAAGAGTGTGACAGGGAAGCCAGTCAGGAAAAACATATTTTAAATAATCAACTGAGGCAGATTACAAATGATTTCCTTTCACAAAAGACTTAAAAACATCTCCTTCATCTGTTTAAAAAACAAGGTCAACTTCAATGGTCAACTTCAATACTGTTTGCATTCTAGCAAACAGTAATGGCCTTTAACCGTCATTTGCAACATTGGTCTCTTTATCATGAGGAGTTGGAACACCGACTTAAAATCATAGAAGCAGGTGGTTAAATACAAAATGTGTAAATGATAACCCTTCGTAAATATAAGACATTGACAAAAACAGAGAATACTGGGCACAGAAATAAAGGTTTTCAAGAAGAAAAAAAAACAATGCTTAAGGTAACAGAGCTAAGCATTTTTCTACATTGGATGGATTCTGAAAATCACGTCCCAAAATACTGAATATCTCCTGGCACATTTCCTTATCAATTCTACGACCACCTTTTCCAACACTAGTGTGTGAGCCTCCTCCCTCTCCCCAATGCCACCACTAGATACTGCAAATAGCTTGATTTTTTTTAACTTGTTCAACTTGGTTTTCAGTACTAATAAATCTCAACATTGTAACCTGCAAAAAATAAAAGTAAAACAATGCAAACCACACTAGTAAGCAGATTTTTAAAAAAAACATTTGAAATATTCAAGGAAAATCAAGATTTAGTACTTCCCCCTAGGCATTGAACAATGTAATCTCCCAACATTATTACTGCATGAAGTTCAAAGTAGGCCTTAAAGACAAAATCTTTCTGCAATAAAGAAAAAGGGCAAAGTAACAAAATGAATTGTAAAGTCTTTTGCAAGAATAGGAGTTTGGACACTGGTGAGGAAAATGATTTTCATCCTTCCTTGTACACCTGACACCTATACGAACAAACTTATCTATAATGTCTGCAACACTAGTAATATATAATAGTCATTTACTTGGCCAAATAAAAAAGCAACTCCCACTAAAATTACTTGTATTCATCCTACAGTACCCAAGAGATAGGAGTGCTATTCAAAAGTGTCCACATGCACGTCGCGTATGAAATTTTCTTTCTATTCTGAAAGAGAAACTAGACAAAAGACACGATTCCCTCAGAAAGCAATGACTCGATGCAGGTTGTGACTTTATATTAAAGCTCCGCGCAAAAACATGGAGATAAAGGAAGCGATTTTCATTTGCTGGTCACTATTCCAGCAACACAGCTTCGAGAATTCTGTTCCAGGAAGAAAAGACGACCCTGCAACAAATGGGACAGCTGTTATTCTCCCATAACCAGCGGTCGATGCAGTGGACGTGGTACTCATGGGAGCAAGGTAGCGCACGAAGTTTGTCGCCTTCTGTATATTCAGTAATGCAAATAGTACATGTCTTCAATGCATCGTTTTCACCAAAACTTCTCGTTGCCAAGTTATTAATCTGGACATTGGTGGGTCCTCTAGTTAGGTGGTTGTCATTAAAGGGGTAAAGTCGGGTTGCTTCAATACCTCCTGCAAACATCTGTGAGATACTTTCTGAATATTGATCAATGGAACTGAAGCCAGGGTTGTAGCTGGGGATGGAAGCAGAGTTGTTACCACCAGAGCTCCCTCTTCCACTCCATGGAAGCTCACCAAAAGCTGTTGTTCTCTGCCTTAACCTGGTTTGAATCGGAAGAGATATAGTTTCCCTTGATCCACTATTGAAGATTGTAAGAGTGGAAAACCTGGGAGTACTCACAGAGGTTCTCCCAGCTGCACGTTCAGAAACTGTAAAGGTGCCTATAAAACCTCCAGGTTCACTTTCATAAGTGACCCTGTTGTTTGGGATCTGAGACCTTGACCGAGTTCTGCTAGCTATGCCATCCCTCTGCTGGTCTTCTGCCAACAGAACTCTTCTGACTTGAAGGGCTCTGGTTGGAGGTCTTTGACCAGATCCTGCCGCTTCACCATTGGTATCAGTATCTGAAGAGCTTGTCCCTTGAGCGGCAGAATTTCTAGAACCAGAAGCCACAAAAAGACCTCTACCTAGCAAGTCAGGTCCAGTTATCTGGTGCCTCAAAGTCCCATGGTGAGGGGCTCTAGAAATTCCCTCGATCTCGTTTACCAAAGGCTGCTCAAAAGTCTGTGATGAGATGCTATGATGAGATCTTCGTGGCATTTCATTTGCTGGGTGCAGAGAAGACCCACTTCTTTCAGCTCTGGCTCTGGTTCTTCGCTGGTGTTCTGGTTTCAGGCTTCTTGCCATCCTCCGACCTCTGGTGGATGGCACATGTGTTAATGCTTCAGCAGAACTGTGTTCTGACCTAGGTGTTCTGGCAGATGATGTCTCAGATGCTGAATTTTCCACTTGCCTTTGGAGGCTGCGATCCATGTTTTCTACACTAAGACGTGTAGCAGATGGTTCATTTTCATTCTCTGAGGTTTGGCTTCCATTATTACGGTTAACATTTGTCTCTAAACTGAATCTGAAATCACCACTGTTTGGATTAGTGTGGCTCACTGCCCTCCCGGACTGCTTTCCTCTCTGACTACTTCTTGTTGTATTGCCAGTCTGTCTGACAGAGCAAAGCCAAGCTATTACGGAGTCAACATTGGACTCGTCATCTGAAGAGTCTCCATTTTCTTCTGAGCTCTGCGGCGGCGGCAGAGGCGGCCCCTCTTTAATTTGCTGTAGTCTTCTGAACAGCTCCTCCCCAGTACTTTGACCCGGGGTGCCTAGCAAATTGTTGTCTCTCAGAAGTCGATAGTCTTCTCCGCTCAGATTATTTACAAATCGATGGAAAGCTTCTTTCCCATCCAAGCGATCCACTAGCCTTCTGCGCTGTGCTGCAGATTGGTCATTTCCTTGATCGCTAGAATCTGAGTTTTCCATCTTGATGAACAAGTGGACGATTATCTGTCTGTCATGACATAGTACTGAAATCCAATCAACTGGACCTTCAGTTTTCTTCGCTAGGCTTCGGTGTTCTGGCCAGGAGGGGACTGGCTGGGCTCTGCCACCTCAGCTGTCTGCGAGGCCGCCTAAGCTCTGCCCAGTGTCTGCCTCCTGCTCTCTAGCCCGCCTCAGAATGACTGGAAGAAACCCGCCTCTAGCCCAGCACCTGCTCATTCTGAGACGTAGCTCCAGCAACCATTATCTTCCCCATTGTTACCTAGCAGTGACAGAAATCCACTCAAGATAACTTTTCTTAAAGTCACCCCACATTACCTATTGAATGTATTTCAGGTCCCCTTTCTCAGCTACTCCACAGGACTCAAGAAGTCCTATTCAGAAAGCAGATGATTCAGTCAAAGCATACCAGGTGGGTCTGGGGAAGAGTGACTGGTAGTCCTACTCGTAGGACAAACCCACTCTTCTTGCAATGCTGGCATCACGCTGGGGAATTTAGTGAGATAGTGACTGCTTCATGATAGGTTGGCATCGCACAGGTTGTTCATTGTGCCCTTCCCCAATCACAGTGGCTAGGTGCCATCATGAGAAGGAACTAAGTGGTTGACCTTCACTACTCTGGTGTTATGAGAACAAGGATTACGTCAGGGAGCCTGAGGACACCCTGCTACAGCCCTCGAGTTGGAGATAGCTGTAGGCACTATTACAGAGAAAGGGGAAGCAGATATGGACATGCTGATCCTTTCAGGTTGGCATCTGATTAGGTTGCTAATGGGAATGGTGGTTACTAGCCCAGCCCTCCATATAAGTGTAAGGAATGTTACTGTCACCCGAGGTCGGCAGGAAGTTTGACTTCTAGAGGTACCTGTCTGCCATGCATTTCACAACCGGCTGGATGGAAAACAGAAACTCAGACCCATTGGAATGCTTGATTTCCACAGCCCCCTTCCTCCCACAGAACATTCACTGAGGGGTGACTTATGAAAACACAGAGCCTGAGCCTCCTGCTCAGATCTCTGTCCTCTCTTTACTCCTCTTCCCCACTCTTCAAAGTGTTCAGGGGCCTCTCATCAACTTGGTAAGTAGGCAGAGCCTGAAACATAAACTCTGGAGAAGGTGGAACATGGGAGCACCTGCATAGCCCTAAGGCTTGGAAAGCAGAGTGTGTGGAGTAGATGCTGTTGCTATACAAAGAAGAGATGCTCCCAAAGAAGATGGACATGTTGAAGGCCTGACCCTTGGCTAGTCCAGGATCAGCAGTTTCATAAATGGTAGACAAGACAAGAGAACTCTATTTAAACACACCACTCTTTGCTCCTAGCAGACTCCAATGTTGGTAGACTCAGAAAGAAATCACACACTGATATAGGTGGGTCTTCTATCTATCTGTTGCTTTCATTGGTTAATTAATAAATAAAACTGCTTGGCCTGATAGGCAAGAAAATAGGTAGGCGGGGAAGACAGAACAGATGCTGGGAGGAATAAGGCAGTGAGACAGATGCTATAGATCACCTCTTCAAGAGGGATGTAGGTTAAGATCCTTCCTGGTAAGCCACCACCTCATGGTTCTACACTCAGTAATAGAAATAGGTTAATCAAGATGTGAGAATTATCCAGTAAGAGGCAAGATAATTGTAGTTACCCTCTACATTATTTAGACTCCTTGAAATAGAATGCTTAGCAACACTTTTGTTTTATGTTTCTTGCTTAATATTGTTTGTAGTTTGTAATTTTTTATTTGGTTTCTGTTCCTATTGTATATAGTTATATTGGGTTTAGTTCGATCTTGTTTAGAGAAAGGGGGATCATGGAAGACTTCAGCCAATCACATGCTGCTTAATGTGTCCCCTGGGTCCACAGATAGCCAATAAAAGCATCCATGTTCTCTAGCTCTCTCTCTGTGTGTTCCTGCTCTCCTGAATCATCGAAACCCTGGTTTTGTAAGTTTCCTTTCTTCTGTTTATTAAAGCTGAATATTATTTTAAGTTGGTTTGGTTAATTACAACTTCCAATACTCCTCGCCCATCAACACAAAAATGTGATTTAAAAATTAGTTGATCAGAGGAATTAGTGTGATGTGTTGAAAATTCCTATGCCAGACTCAGTCCATAACTTCTGATTTCAGGTCCTTGCAGCTCCTCAGGGTATAGACAGAATGCAGCCAGATTCTCTGAGAGGATATAAGACAAATGGCATCTAACCAAGTGCCCAGTAGAGTCCTTGTTCCCCCTTGGAACCTCATGAGCACAGCCTTTACTGTCTACGTTTCTATTGGCATGTTACTCTTCCCATATCCTATTCATTAAGCTTTATGTACAGTGTTCGGGGACTTCTCTAGTCAACACCTCAGAACTCTTCTACATCCCTCCCGTGACGTCATTCCAAGGCCTACAGACTGCAAGGTCACATTTATAACAATTATGATTCCCACCCTGGTACCAAGGTTCTGGACTTATTTCATTACTCATTTTCATGACAAAATACCAGACCAAAGTAGCTTCAGAAGAAAACGGCATATTTTGTGCAGGCTTAGGAGCAAATACAGCCCATCATATTGGGATAGCATGGTAGTGACAGTGGCTCCAGCTCTTGTGTCAGGCTGTTGAGACAGCTCTTTATACTGTGCCAGTGGCGAGGAGGCAGAGAATGATGATGCTCTGCTCAGTTTGCTTTTTCCTTTTGTCCTCTTTGCTCACTCTGGGAGCCCAGTCCATTGACTTTTGCCACCCATTCCCAGGGTATATTCCCTGAGAGCTGTCTCTCTTGAAATGTGCTACTAGACTGGCCCAAATTCACTTATGGTGACAATAAAGATCAACCACATAATCATAATGAAGACCATGTACGTCAACCTTGTCACCAGCATTTTACCAAATGGGAGGAAACTGAAAGCATTTCATTTTGAATAAGAAGGTGAAAAGTCCACTTTCTTCACTCTTATTCAATTCAGTGCTGAAATCTTAGTCAAAGCAATAAGACAGGAGACAGAAGCCAAAACAAAACAGAAGTAGTCAAATTACCTCTCAGAATCTGTACTTGAGAAATCCAAAGGAGTCTTAGATATCATAAACATTTTCGGCACAGTAGCGGAATACCAAATAAACCTATAGAATTAGATGTTTGTTTAGATAAATACTGAGCTTACTGAGAGAGAAATAAAACAATTCCTTTAGCAATTGCAAAAATAAAATCACCTAGGCAATTGGACTAGTGAGTTAGCCCACTGATAAGAGACCATGCTACTCTTCCAGAGAACTAATGTTTTGGAAGCTCACAACTTCCTCCAACTCCAGCTCCCTGAGATCCAGTGCTATCTTCTGGCCATTGAGAGCACACGCATACACAAAGCTATACACAAAAATACATAACTATACATAATTATACATACAAAATGAGTCAAAAATTAACTGCCTAGGAATAAACCTAACTTTTAAGCTGAGTATTTGTTCAAGGCACCAGCAATTATAATGAAGCTGGGCAGTGGTGCCACATGCTTTTAATCCCAGCACCCAGGAGGCAGAGGAGGCAGATCTCTGTGGGTTCGAGGACAGCCTGGTCTACAGAGCAAGATCAAGAATAGACTCCAAAGCTACACATAGAAACCCTGTCTTGAAAAACCAAAAAGAAGACATGTGCAATTAAAATTTTATTATATTTTCCACTTCTTTCTTTGAGTGTGTATACACATTCATTTGCCACTGTGGGTGTGTGGAGGTCCGAGGACCACTTCCATCAAATAGCTCCCAGGAACTGAATGGAGCTTTTCAGACTTAGTAGCATATGCCATTACCTGTAAAGCCATCTCTCTAACCTTACAATTATAAACGTAAAACATCAATTAGCAATTGTTGTAGGAGGGGGAGGGGAGAGGGTGAGTGCAGGAGTCGGAGGAGGGGAGGAAGTGGACATTTTGAATGGTATTATTTATAAAGCAATGAAAAAAACAAACAAAAAAAGCAATAAATATGTTAAACATCGGGCCTGGAGAGATGGCTTAGCAGCTAAGAGCACTGGCTGCTCTTCCAGAGGGCCTGGCTTCAATTCCCAGCAACCACATGGCAGCTCACATGTCCAGTTCCAGAGGATCTGACACCTTCACACCAAAGCACATAAAATAAATTTTCATAAGTAATAAAATATTTAAAACACCAAAGAAACAATTTGAAGAATGACTTTCTGATATGAATTTTAAAATTAATTTTGTGAAAATGGTGATCTTACCAAAGGCAATTGACAGATTCAGTGCGATCCCAATCAAAATTATCATGTTATTCTTCACAGACATGCTATAGGACTTCCAAAATTCACACAGAGACACAAAACATCACACGTAACCAAAGCTATCCTAAGCATGGCAATGCCTGATTTTGTCACACTACAGAATCATAGACACAAAAACAGCATGCTACCAGCAACAAAACAGAGACAAAGACAAAGGAATAGAAAAGCGACTCAGAGTAAATCCACACAGGTACAGGTTGGCATGTGTGTCTGAGGCAGGATCCCTTGCAGCTCAGGATGGTCTTGCCTTGAACTACTGATAGTCCTGCCACTATCTCCCAAGTCCTGGAATCTCAGATGGTCATTTGACCTAATTTTTGACAAAGGTACCCAAAGCTCACACCGCAGAAAGCACCACATTTTCACCAAATGGTGCTGAGAAAACTGTATGTTCTCCTGAAGAAGAATTAGTCTAAGTCACTATCTCTCACCTAATTGTACAGAGATCAATTAGGTCTGCAGCAACGACCTTAATAAGAGGCTTTCAATTTTGAAACTGCTGGCCTGAAATGGGGAGAACTTGTCATGTGAGGCGAGGCGCGGAAAGGACATTCAGACAGGAGCTCCAAGTACTCAGGAGGCACAACTGAAAGATTGTGTATTCTAAAACTGTACAGCTGCACAGCAAAGGGAATAGGCATCAGAGTGGAGATGCCACATACAGAAGGGAGGAATTTCTTGCTAGCTCTATACCTGACACT